TAAGGGCATGCCCAGAAGAAAGATAGTTTCAGTCAATCATCCCTGAATGCAAATGAAAGGCTCCACACATACAATCCCTCTTTAGAACCCAGGAGCTGTGGGCCATGCTCTCTCTAGCATGCACTCCACCTCCAGGGAGCAATCCCATGCCATTCCCTTCCCTTGCTTTCCCCACAGGCACATGTCCCCTAACCTCTAAAGGACCCCATGACACTTACATCCAGGGGAGAAATGGGCAGCTGCAGCTCATCCTGGTCTCACCCCCAGCACCTGTCTCCAAGGTCCCTTTCCTCTGACTTTCCTTGAGCTACAGCAGCCCTGCCATTGGCTGCTCTCACTATGTTTTCTCCCACACTCTGTTGACTGACTGGTGCCTCATTTGGAATGTCTTTTCAATAAGCCTCATTTTGCTTTACTTTTATTTTTTGTTGACCTTAAACTCGTTTCTGCATCTACAAAAAGAACCAAGGTCCTAAGCAATAACCCCAACTGGTAACAAAATCAAAATCAAAGTCTGAGTACAAATGAATGTAAAAGATCATAAATTCTCTTCCTCCTTCTATAATCTAAACCCAGTCTCTCAAATACCTTGATTTATAACTTCTTGTGCTCTAGGGCTGTTAGCATCTCTTCACAGGTGCCCTTTTATAACTAAATATTGAACACACAGAAATCCATTGGTTTTTATACAACAACTAGAGGCCTGGTGCACAAATTAATGGACCAGTGGGGTCCCTCGCCTGGCCTGCGGGACAGAGTCTAACTGGGCTCTCAGACATTCCCTGAGGGGTCCCGGATTGGGAGGTCACAGTGAGGCTAACAATCAGTTTAAATGTAATTAAGTTCAAATTCTAGAATTAAATATAACAATTGCTTGTTACTGTTACTCAAACTCAATTTACATCTTAGAAAAAGTTAACAAAGTGGTCTTTGCATGTGAAATGTGACAGGCATAGCCTATAGAGCCACACCAAAAAATCACATGCTTTCCTCATTTTTTATGGAGCACACGTTTTTAAACATAATAGTTTCCAAAAGCTTGGGGCCAAAAGGCCTTTGGTGTAGAAAAACACCAAATTCCACTTGACTGCAAGTTGTCTTCCTATTTCAAGCGAAATCCATTGCTGTTAAACTGGTCCCCAAATACAGGGGGGAACTGGAATGTGCTCTTTGGACTGTTTTACAGTGGTTGGTGGGGCGGGAGGTTGAGAGAGTTTCCAGGAAGTCTATTTCTAGGGTTTAATAAACTAAAAAAGGGGCGGGGGGGGGGAAGATTCTTCTGATTAAATGGTGTGTTGGAAATAAAACTTAATTGTATCAGGTATGTCTCCCTTACATGCTATGTTCATGTGGGAGGCAAACAGGGAAAATAAAACCATCTTGCAGACTTCGCCAAAATCCGCACTTCAATCGCTAGAAGACCAGGCTCTCCCACTGTCCCGCCTTCATCCCCAGTGCATTTAAGCGCCTAGGAGGGAAGAGGGGTGCCAAAGAGGGGGACCCTAACAGCTACCACTACGCGCCAAGGAAGCTCTCTTGTTAATTTTCGCGCGAGGTGCGCCATGTGGAGTCTTCCTCCCTGGGTGCCTCTGGAGGTGGAGAGCGGGGGAAGGAGATGAGCCCGCTGTCACCAGGGAAGATGAAGAGGAGGGAGAGGGAATGAAAGAAGGAGGCGCCTGAGTACCCGCGGGGTCTCCCACTTTCGCGCTGCTCCTGCAGTGAAAGGTGCGTCCCGCACCAGCCACCCTCTCCTGGGAGAGGCCAGCAGGGCACCCTGGAGGCGGGAGAGGCCATCCGCAGAGCCAGGATCAGGGCCACTCACCGCAGCTCGCCAAGCCCAGCAGTGAGCAAACAGAAGGAGTTTAATAAGGCAAGCATTGCTCCAGTGAAATTTGATAGTCATATATTTTTTAAAGATTAAAAAAAGAAAGGAAAAGAGACATCTCACTAGCACCAACAGGGGCCACATAGCGCCAGCGAAGGGGCAGAGGCTGCTGCCATCACCACCAAGGCAGAGTCTGGAGCAACCACTGGCGTCACAGTCAGAACCCTGCAGTGGCTTCGCGTCACAAGCAGGACACAATGCCCAGGCTGCTGGCCGCGCTCAGCATTCTGGCCATCACACACCTGCTCCCAGCCCCCCCAAAGGTGCTGCTAACTGCAGTCCCTCCGATTCCTGGACTCCTTCATATTCCCTTAGGCTCCGCGGAGACCCTGAGCCCCTCCAGGGAGGTGGCCAATGCTGGACTTCAAGGGCAAACCTTTCCTTGGCAAGCACCATCCCTGTCCAGGGTCCTGGTCCCTCTGGCCAAGAGAGGTTTAGAGTGTGTGCCCTGGCTCACTGGGTCTTCACTGTCCCCGCCCCTCTCCAAGGTTCCTGTCCTCCTCCTTGCTCCATCCTGGGCCCCAGGATCCTCCCTCCACTGTCCTCTCCTGTTCAGAAAAAAAAAGAAAAAAAAAAGGATTCAAAATGTGGCTAATGCAGAAAATGGAACAATCTTGCCCTGGCAGGAGTTGCTAAGAGGTTAGAGCATCAGTTTGAGCAGGGAAGGGTCCCTGGTTTGATTCCCAGACAAAGACATCAACCTGGATTGCAGGTTTGATGCTTTGCCCCCGTCAGCGCATGTGCTGGATGTGTCTCTGTCACATGGATGATTCTCTCTCTTTCTCTCTCCCTCCCTCCCTCTTTCCCTCCCTTTATCTCTCTCTCCCTTCCACCTTTTCACCTTCCATTCTCTAAAATAAAAGAAAGAAAGAAGAAAGATTTAAAAAAAATGAATTTATCTAGTGACATTGGTTCACAAAACTATACAGGTTTCAAGTGTACAACTCAATGAAATATCATCTACACTCTGCATACTTCTGTCCCCATTCCCTCTTCCCTCTGACAACTTCCACCTCTACTCCACTCCCCCTTTAGCACTGGCTATCACCACAGTGGTCTGTGTTGTGCATATATGGTTTTTGACTAATCCCTTCACTTTCCTTCAATATCTCACTGAATGACACAGGCACAACATTCAAAATGAAGCAAAGACCTGGTAAAACTGCCAGTAACAAAAAAATATAATCTGGTGAGGATTAACAAAAAAGAGAAAATGGAGGACTCTTAAATCAGGTGAATAAGAAGAGGCCATCTGGGTGACCACCTCAGCTCTTGGGAAACAGCTGGGAGGTGTTGTTTTTAAAAAAATATATTTTATTGATTTTTTACAGAGAGGAAGGGAGAGGGATAGAGAGCTAGAAACATCAATGAGCTGCTTCCTGCACACCTCCTACTGGGGATGTGCCCGCAACCAAGGTACATGCCCTTGACCAGAATCAAACCTGTGACCTTTCAGTCCAAAGGCCAATGCTCTATCCACTGAGCCAAACTGGTTAGAACTGGGAGGTATTTTGATGGTGGGGCAAGAGGAGTCCTATTCTAGGAGACAGAATCCAAAGGAAGAATCCTAGGTTTGATTAGCTTCTCTCTGAGATAATTTTGTCCAGTATCTAACTACCTTTTATTTCTGTTTCTCTTTTAACATTTCCAAGCATTTTTATTTAGATTTTGTGCTCTTATCTTTACTTAAGGTGTTTTTTTTGGGGGGGGGGGAGTGGAATTGAGAGTAATGTATAGTAGAATATTTTGAACAGAGGTAATTCACATTCCATTTATTACCAAAATTAGTCTTCATAACAGCCATGTAGTGGGTATGATGATCTTCATTTTAGTGATGAGGACAAAGGCAATGAGGAATAATGAGGCCCATGACTGTATGTGATACTTTTCTCTCTTTGTCTCTTGTTGATGTCTATCTTCCTAAGTTTTTCCCCCCACTTTTCCTTTTCACCCTATAACATCTACTTGCCTCTTCCATTGCACTTTGTTTATGCTGCTAATAGAATGCATCTATATATTAATTTGTACATATCTGTCTCCTATTCTACCATGTTAGCTAGGAGAAAATGAAATTTTTCCAGGGTATATTTGTATTTCCAGGGTCTGTCACAGTGCTCGGTCGAGACATAAAAGCTCTGTGTGTGTTGAATGAAGCAAGAAAACCCGTGTGATGTGTAATATTACAGAAACACTTTAGCCCAGGTTTGAGTTTACATCTCCAGCCACACACTACGGTTAACCTTGGACAAGTTACTTAACACATCTGAGCCTCCTTTCCTCATTTGTGAAGGTATGTGATGAAAATAATAGAAATTAACTCCTTAAATTGCCTTGAGAATTTACTGTTAACACTTTTATAGCTACATAGAGCAGTGCTTGTTGTACAGTAAGCACACAATCAATATTACTTCCTATTATTAGAGTCTCTTTATAGTGAGATGAGTCTCTGAGAAGGACAGGGAAAATTATTGTCTGAAGGATCACCAATTGATGGTCTGAAACCCTGAAGAGAAGAGACACTGGGATTGGGACAAGTGTGTACAATTTTGATTCAAGCCAGGGGCACAAGTCTGTGCACAGCAGATAGCCCTTAGTTCACGTGTTCTCCTATACACTTTGTTGGTGATTCAACGCTGAGGGACCCACATCCTTGATGCCTGGCTCAGGGCCCAGTGTCCTAGGGTTTATTTAAACTTGACCCACTCAGAAAAGCACAGTTGCCCCAGTCATCAAATAATGCCATGTAGCAAAGAGTGTCTGTGATCAATAGGCCAGGACTGGGTTTAGATGGTTAGGCAGCTGGAAGATATTGGCATGTGGTTAGAGAGATGGATTTGACTTAGGGAAACAGAAGGAAGGCTCCAGTAGCAGGAAATGATCTTCCTGGCCTGTGCTTCCATGAGGGAAAAATATTGGAAACAGAAACTGCCTCCAAATAGTAGGAGGCAGGACTGAGGGTTTGGGGTAAGGGATATTCTACCGGAGGGATGAGGGTGCATTTCCATGGGGAAGTCCTTGTGCCCAGGCTTGATTTTCCTAAGTCAGGCACAAGCACAGCTCTTCCCAGTCCCCCTGCTGGTGTTGCTGGAGGCTGCTCAGGTAGGGGGCCCACGCTCACCACAGCTGGAAGGCACTAGAGAGAGCCAGCTTCTCGGTTAGTTGTAAAACCTCAGCACCTGCATTTCTGTGAGAGCCCATCATCTTTGGGGTCCTGGGAAGGCCTCTCTGTATCTTGCCTAACTGTCCCCTTTGGAGACACATAACATGCATGTAGAGGGTGCTTACTAAGCACCAGGACCTCATCATGCTGTAGTATTTACTGTCTGTTGCTGCCAGAAGGAATCACTACAAATTTGGGGGCTTAAAACGATACCCATTCTTTATGCGACAGTTGTGCAGGTCAGAAAGGCAATGGTTTCTCTGCTTCTGGTCTCCCATGGCCAAAATCAAGGTGTTGCCTGGGCTGCGGTCCCTTCAGAAGGCTCTAGGGGAGAATCCATCTTCAGGTTCATTCAGGTGTTAGGCAGAATTCAGAGTCTGGCTGCCATCTTGGAGGGGGTCAGCATGGACAGGCTGGCTTTGGGTAACTGTGTGTAGCTCCAATGATGCATTAAAGTCTTCTCCGGTTGTCCTGCCTCCTCTTCTGCCACATTTCTATGACTGACTCTTCTTCCTCCCCGTCGACCTTACATACTCAAGTGATTAGTTTGGGTGCCTCCGGGAATCTAGCATAATCTCCCCATGTTTAGGTTTCTAAACTTAATCACACCCACAAGCCTCTGCTGCCACATAAAGCAACATGTTTCAAGATCCCCAGGGATTAGGGCTTGGGAATATGTGGGAGGAATTACTCTTCCTACCACAGTTTTGTCCTAGGTCCTTAAACAGCCCAATAAGGAAAGCATTGTTATAGCCATTATGCATGTGAAGAAACTGAGAGTTCATATCTCAGGTAATAAATGGCGGAGCTGGAGTATGTCTTGCTTCTGAGCTCAGGCTCCTTCCTCTGCCTGAATGAAGGAATGGCGGAAGCAAAGCAATTGTGTGGTGGTCGGTCCCTCTCTTTGAAGTTCCCTCTGTGCTTCATTAGTGCCGCTTCTCAACTCAGTGAGGTGGTCCCCACTGTGGCCACCAAGTTTCCAGCTCTCCTCCTAATAGCACGATATGTGTATCCACTGATTCTCAGCAGAAAACAGATGGCATGCCCAAATGAAGATGCTGAGAAGAGATTAATAAAGGAACTGTTTACTAAGGTGTGGGCAGGTTTAAGGGAAAGTGACAAGAAAAGGAGAAGTATTAGCTAACAGCAGCTGTTGTCCCCTCATCTCTAGTTCTGGAGGTGCAAGGAGAGGAGTGGTTAGGAGAACCCTGAGAGAAGGGAGATTCTAAGGAGGGCTGCGTGGATGGAGCTGGGGCCTTCGGTAGAGGAACAGCCACTAGCAGCCTGGCAGAGGAAGGTGGCCAAGGAAATACCATGACTCCATTCGCCTTTCACCTTCCAAACTCCTGCTCTGGGCAAATCTCAACCAGAAGTCAAATGGAAAGAAGTCTGTTTATGCAGTTCTTGGAGTTTGGCTTTGGGGGACCAGATTATGGAAGGGGAGAGCATGGATCTGAGGGAGACTATTCAGCACAGAGGGACTATCCGTCCCACCCTCTTGGAATTGGATGGGATAATGTGACTTGCTTTGCCCAGGGTGTTAGTTTCATAAACTAAGAGGCTTAAAATAAGAGACATGTATTTGCTCATAGTTCTGGAAGCTGGATGTCTGACATTAACATGTCAATAGAGCCATATTCCAGCTTCTGAAAGATCTTGGCAATCTTTGTGAGGCAGGACACTAAGAAGCTAGGGAAAGTCCTTGGCAAGTGGAATAAGGGAAACAGACAAAATCATTAAACAAGGCCAAATAATCTGAGCAATTTACAGTCTCCTAATGAATAACCAGGTTTTATCTTCTCTAACTAATTAGACTTAAGAGCAAATGTTTACACCGTCAGGGGAAGAAGGGCCTCAGTCCAAGTCTTGGAGATTAAAGCTAGCCAGAAAATAACTCGATCCCTCTCTATGTACATTCTGATAAATCAACATATTGAATGACACACCTGGAAAGCTATGAATGTTACCTTAAGCCCCTGCCCTGAGACCT